TGCATTATTTGAGTGTTAACAGCCTGGTTTATTTAGAATCTGTGGTAACAAAATCAATATGAAGCTATTCAGAGAGAGGCTAAGTGGGTAAACATAACCTTGAATACAAACATTTTGTTCAACCCCGAGACATCTCGTCGCTACTTCAGCTTTACAGTATACAAGCCATATTATTGAAACCACCACCATGAAACAGAACAGATCTACTGTGAAGGTCATTATTTCATCACACCTCTATATCAAGCACTTTTTATATTGTAGAGAATTCATTTTCAAAAAAGACACATTTAAGTTTCAAATTTGTGTTTGTGTCAAGTAAAAAGGTCTGATGAATTATGGCCCACAGTATAGAGATGAGTGATTGAAACAGAGTGTTGTTTAACTGGGACCCCCCCTTAGTCGGTAAGTGTCAGCAGGTTGGGACCAGGTCAACAACTCACTCCTCCTCTGTTTTATTTAAATAATAGCAGAGGTCAATTATCCACATCAATCATGTTCAGCAGAAATAGTCATGTTACGTAGAAATGAGTTTACCTGCTCTCCTTTTCTGTAAGCATCTCGATGCTCAACACGTTTCCACATGTTTTAATCCATAATAACATGAAACTCTCCACTGAATGAAAATATTTGAATCCCCCCAAATGTAAAAGGCAGGCTCACCAATCATACACATTCACGTGCCTTCTATATTGATAAAAGATCATTGTAAAACAAAGGAATTCATACAAAAAGAACCTTTATCTCATTTCACAGTTTGATGACTGAGCTTCATGACTACAGAAAACTCAACTGACAAATTGTTTCAAGAGACAAAATAGTTTTGATGAATACTTTTGTGTTCAATTGGCCATGACAGCTCTGTACTTTAACACACACAAACACATCAACGGCCATGTCCAGTGAGTTCTCTCTGATTTATCTTCTATTAAACGCACAGAATGTAGCTGTTACTAAATAGGCCTGCTTCATTTAACTTTATTTATGAATCGCTATACATTTTATTTTTATTTTGTGTCTTCATGCTTTTACAGGGAACTCTAATCATAACTGTTGTGGAATATTTTCCAAGGCCCATAACTGACCCAGTTTATCAGTTCAAACTGTCCTGACTGAGCACACACACCTCGTAACCTTGGCTGCTGTGCTCTCAGTGTCCTGTCTCCCTGTTCCTGCCTGTTGGCGTCAGCTGATAAGAGGTGTTATGATTTTATCTCGTTATGCAGCAGTTTGATGATGCTCTCAGAACTAGCTAAATACATGGGTCTGGGGTTGAGTTCTCCAGAATTGACGTGGCAACTCTCCCGTGCAGTCAGATCGTGACTGCTGTGACTTGTGATGTGAATCCTCCGGCCGAAACTCCAAATAAATCATCAGTGTTTGACATCAGAGCTCCTGCTCTACCGTGTCTCCTTCCTGAGTCAGTGACTCCCACTGCATTGCTGCACAGAAGTTTCCCTTACAATACCTTATTTCTGGTTATACAATTTCTTCATTTATAAAATAAAATAAATAGCAAATGGTCACAAAATGATAATTATTTTGTTATGATTCTTTGGTTTCTTGGTTTGCTGGCGGTGCAGCCTTGGTGTTTGTGTAACTGACAACCTGTAATCAGTGAGAGGACGCAGACTGAGGCCAGACACACAGCAGGCAATTACAATGTTTGGGAAAATAAATGAAATGACTAACAAAATAGGTCAAATTAAGTGTTTCCCAGACACACTAAAAAGACCTCCCTAATTGCTGGTCCCTGAAGGGACAAGAATACAAAAACAACAAAACATTATATTGTATCGGCCGATGACGAGGGAAGAGACGCAGACTGAGAACGGGCTGTGGGAGAAGAAAAGGACACAGCGTGGTTTGTATAATTGCATGTTTTGCCCCGAGCGGCGAGTGTGTACGTCCGTCAATCACCATCAGGGAGCCAGCGCGGAGCAGATGGCGGAGGAAGGAATGGAGCCGGTCATTGACTTTGCCTCTGCTGAGGGAAGGAAGACGGAGACAACAGAATCAGAGGCTGTATTGCATGTTGGCAAACTATTGAGTTGTGCCAGGACGGCCTCCACGAGAAGAGGCTCATTGGATATGGAGGATATGAGGAGGCAGGATGTAAATCAATGCAAAGGCCTTCTCTTCTTTTCATCCTACTCCTACTCAAGCAGGCGACCACTCGCACACGCCGTCCTCCAACAAGTTACCCAAGATTCTTCACAAGCTGCTTATGTGGTGAGAAAAACAGCCAAAAATACTCTGCACGACTGACGAGTTTATACAATCCTTCCTGTTTCCAGCTCCACTAAATGTGCAGTAAAATAAAATGCCAGTGTCCTTCCTGCACACAGGGATGAATGGACATGGGAGTGTTTGAAGCTTTTTGCTGGGGAATCTAGTTAGAGAAGAGCCACAATGACATTTCCTCAGCCCTCTGTTCGGGGGATTGGAGCTGGAAATTGCACCTCAGTGCTAAACCAAGCCTGAGCTTTAATTAACAGCAGCACACAAAAGGTGACGGACATCGCCTGCAGCTCACAGCTCTCATGTTTCAATCCCGCTCTCAAGGAAGTGTCTGGGAAATTTGGGCAGGTGTCGAGGAAAAACCTGCCCCCACGGCAGCAGCCCACCATTGTGTTTAATCAGCAGCACAGTCATTGTGATCGTCAAAGGGCACGGCTCCACAACGGACTGACAGAGGGACACTGTTACAAAACAGAGAGGGAAGCTTTTTACATCTCAGGACTCATTCAAATACGTGTTATTTAATGATCCCTTTATTATGATTGTCCTCACATGACTAGCCTACAACATCATCGATTGTCTAAAACTAGTAAATATCAGATTGTAGGGTTAATACCTCACACAGGGAGAATGCATCAGTACAGTAAACCAGATAGGAAATGTGTTTGTTACAGAAAAGCATTCAAATGAAATCAAATACAATAAATGACAAACTTAAGTTTATTGGACATGCATATTACAGAGCAGTTAGAAATAGCTGATTCCAGTCCTGTCTCCCAGAAATACATCTTCTTATATATTACCATTTGTTTTGGCTAAATGCATTTTGAGGGGAAGCTGCTGCCTGGACTTTGTTCTGAAAAGTCACAAACAAGTTTGTGAGTGAAGGAAATGAACAAGGAGGGGTCGGGGGGGATATGCAACGTTCAGGACTTTCACACTGACTGAGTCCTGCTGAGGCAAAAAGGCTTCGTGGGTTAGGTAAGGGACATATTGTAGATTTATATAAATGTTAATGAAAGTAATTCACTGTTGACATTTTCAGTATTTAACCAAGAACGCACATTTCCTGTCATCTGTAAAGAGGGGGCAACCGCCGGGTCTGAAAAGTGAAGCCTTAAACCTCAATTCTCTCTCATATCCAGGGGCGACTCCATTGGTTTAAAGAACACACATTGTATAGAAGTCTATGAAAATATGACCGTTTTCTCACTTCTAACCTTAATAAACATTTTCCCTGCTGAGTTTCTGGTATCTTCAATACAGCGTGATGTTCATTTAGTTAATGATGGTCTCATTTAGAGTCCATCATGAGGGGTTTGAGACACACACTTCAGAGGCTGTGACCTCTGTGTTGATTCACAACCTTGTGACTGCTCTTTCTGAGATGCACTCGGGGCCTCCCACTGTTACTGACGCCTGCTTATAACGTCTGAAATGAATATTTAATATATTTTATGCATACACAATACAATTAAACTAGACATTGATTTTGGGTCATATGATGATATGTGGAAGCTCATGTCGATGTCGAGCTCAGCCTGGTTCTGTCACACAGCAGGGGAGAGACCTGCACGCACACGCACGCACGCACGCACGCACACACACACACACACACACACACACACACTGAAACACTTCTTCCTCACACTGCAGCAGGAAGACAGCTGGAACTCTGAAGAAGTAACACATGGCTCCAACAGGGGAACACTGCAGAACACGTTACAGAGAAGGAAAGAGAAGGCTTTATGAACGGCTGGATGTGTGTCATGGTTTCTTTATTCAAATAAATATTACTTTCTTTGAGTTTTCATGAACAATTGTGCATAAATCAGATATGGAAGGCCCGACGGCCAGTCTCTGTGCATATATGAAAAAGGATCTCAATGATCTATGATCTCAATGGGACCAATCTGGTTAAATAAAGGTTTGAAATATAGTGAATGACCTTGTAATGTTGTCTTTATTCTAGCAAACCTCATTGATTCACTTATTTTTAATGGAACATTTCAAACAACATTTGGAAAAACCCTGTGTACGGCAGAGGAAGTGAAACTGCTGTTGTCCTATTAGAGATTTATTTTGAAATGATAAACATCAAGTTCTCTTCCAACAGTTAGCCCTAATAAAAGGTGGTCCGCCATCTATGACAACACCTACACGCATTGCAGATGTCATATGTACCAGTGTATTGTTTCAATTATTCTCAAACAGACTGTGGTCATACTGATTCTTTGTTTACTTTTTAATTTCCCTGAAACATACCGTTATATTATTTCATTCCTCTTCTGTATTTTGATTTGATTCAAACATATTTAATCCTATTTGTCAGTTGCTTTCTGACGAAGTGTGGTGTGATCTTTAGAAAGCAGGAGCAGAGCGCTCTGCTCCAACCGCTGGCAAACAAATCCACAAAATAACATGAACAGTACCTTTTCAACAAAGGCCAAGACCTTTGAGAGAATTCTGACAGAAGTTTAACATTCTGTGAAACACAACAGTGGTTCATGTTCTGTAGAGGATGTCTTTCTTTGGGCTAATGAGGAAACCCCCCCCCCAGGATCAGAATGTTGTCGGACAGTGAGGAGAGGACTCACCGTGGTGTGTTCAGGGCTCCAGCGCGCCCCTCCGCCTCAGCAGGATCCTCTGCAGCTGCTCATCACCTCCGGCTGACGGAGGCACCGCCTTGGCTTGGGGGATGGCTCTACCGAAATTCTCCTTGACAGTTTCAACAAAAACACAGACAGAGAGACAGTTCAGCAACTAGAGCTGCACAGGTACCGTGACAGCTTACAATCATGTCCAACGATCTGGTAGTGTTTACAGATATCTGACTGACTGCAGTTCTACTTAGTTTATTTTGGTAGTGTATGTACATATAGACTGCAGCTCAATAAATGTTGCAGTAGCACTTTCTCTTAGTTGAAATATATTATTTTAACATCAAATACAACTTTAAATTCAGGTGTGAACACAGTCACAGTTCCAGCAGTTACATGTGCTCTGTGAGGACATTGGATTGTTTTAAAGGGCCATTACCATGATTCCTTTAAGTTCCTGGATGGCAGAATTAGAGGGCAGCCTCTCCCTCTGATAAAAGGAAAATAGGAGGGAAAAGATTGGTTTGGTAAATAAACAGCAGTCTGACACATTATACTTATTTTTCCTCATTCAGCACTTAGAGGCTAAACGGCACCTCTTACCACAGAGCCGAGACACTGTAGGCAAGCACCACAATGTATGCTTTCTACAAGAAGCACAACACAATCATCTTGAGTCACGTCAATTTTCCCATCCTCATTATTTGTAATTATTTGGTGGAGCGGGTCCTAATGCTATCTAATTTGGCGGAGTTGTTGTGGCGGAGGAACATGCCAACTAAAATATGTCTTGGCCATTATGTCATGTTTTATCAAAACAAGCAGCTCTTAAATAATCCCACACACTGATGGATGGAAGTTAGCTTTGGTCTGCAGATTTGAACAAGGAGGAAAACACATAACACACATGCACTTTCTTTAACGACTCCCCATTTTGAGGTTGTAATGTCTTCATTCTGACTGCTCAGTATTCACTGTGAGAAGTCTCTGCAGTGTGTGCTGGACTTTTCTGCTGTGTTCCTGTCAAAGGACGCGGGTAGGGGGGACTCGGCAGACCCGATCATAGTTTAGGACTACTTTACATACGTTCAAAGAAACATTACATCTATGTCATTTTTTTAATTGAATAGAAATGGTGGAGTGGAATATTCAGAACAGTCATCACCTGTGCAGGGGTGTGTTCATGAGAAATGCGAGAACACAGCGCTGCGGTGTTGTTTGCCCTCACTGACAGTTACCTGGCCTCAGACTGAAGGTTAAAAGCTTTCCTGAACGGGCTCTTAATGTCACAAACACAGCAGGTGGCAGGCAGTGTTGGCTAATACACCATTTAAGTGGATTATTGAGAGTACCTGTTTCCTGCTTCTGTTGGGTGATTGGCTGACAGGTCGAAGTTGAACGCCTCTCTTGATCCTGTGCATCATTTCCTCCACGGCCTGCTGCCTGACATCCACGTCTTGGAATAAAAGATAAACACAAGCAGGAGAGAAACACGTGTCCTTAGTTGTTCTTATTAACGGCTTCTCAAAAACTCAACAGCAGTCTGCCTCAGTGCCACGAACCAAATTGAGTTGAAATGATTGTGAGGGGTCTCTGTAATGTACAGCCGTTATTAGCACTGCTCTTGTAAAATAGCTTATTTGAATGTAAAAACTTGAAAAAGAATCAAACCTCTGGGACCAGGATCAATTAAGTTTCTTTGGCCAAACCCACAGCTTTTCCCCTTTAGGGGTTGATTTGGCTGTACTTATAGAACATATAATAATCACTGCTGTGCACAAACATTCTGTAGAGCTCAAAGTACACCTGTGGAGTTCAGAGCATTTGTAGTTCATGAGGTTATCTAAACTATTCAGGAATTCAATTCAAACCCCTGCGTAAAAGCACTATTCAGCAATTTCTCATCAAAAAGTTCTGAGAGGATAAGAGGCTTTCTCCAGTTCACAAAAGATGGGGACAAAACATATTTTTCTGCCATAACGCATTGGCAAAGAATGTTCATATTTAATTTTCCAGTGCAGAACATTCAATGGCATACACAGTGGAAGTATTGTCAGTAAGATGTCTTTAAAATATCACACAAACATAACAATGATAATAAACTGATAGTAAAATATTTTCCTCCAAAGAGCCTATTATTCAGGTGTCAGAGTAGAAGATCCTTGGGTGGCATCTATTTAGCCCTGTGTGTAATTCCAACAAACCCCTGCATGGAGCGCCCAACTGAGGCCTCATATATTCCTGTCACAAAATGAAGACTGTGAAGCTGTTCAGTTCACATGCATGTCCTACCCGCTCCTACGTATGTACGGAAGTCAAGGCTTCCCTTTTGTTTGCACAAATTGAAAAATGTGTCACTTTGACCTTATAGGAAAAATGATCAAGTCTTATGTTTGATTTACCACTGCTTCAACTTTTGTCTTTATACACAACATTCACTTTGATTTGCAAAAGACAGGTTGAAAAGGAGGACATCTGATTGAAACAGGATTGAACACCAGCTGTCCTACACTGCATGAGAGAAAGCAGCCCCCAGGAGAATAACATACAAAATGAACATACATCACACAGAGAAAGGAAAGATCAAAACACAGTTTGAACCATGATGCCGTAAAGAACATGTCGAGTTGACTTAACTGGTTAGATGTATTCCAATGCATCTTATACATATAATATATACATAAACACATGCCCTTACACACTATGCTTACACAAAGAAGCAAAGTCCCTGTCCTGGTGTACCTGATGTCTTAGCAGAGTCCTGGCCCACCAGTGGGATGTCAGTACTGATGTCTCTTCTCTTTCGGATCAACAACAGCAGAGAACTGCAGGAAAGACACCAACGGTTAGGGTTGTTAGCAAGACGCTTTCCAGGATCCCAAAATTGCTAAGAGGTATTGATTTTGATGAACCATTTTGCGCGTTCACACCGGAGTACTTTTCCCACAATAGTTCATCAGAACTCAGATATATTTGCGTTCACACCAAAAAGCCCCCTGAACTAAATTAGTTCATCAGAACCATTTGTACCCCCTTTTCGAGAAGCCCCTCAATGCAGTGCGCAATGCCTCAATGAGCCCAACGTGGGCGGAGCTTCACAGATGACGCGTTGCATCCTGTTTCCCGGGTAGCAGTTCTCTTCCCTCTCTTCAATCTAACCCTAACCACTCCCTACCTTTTTACCTAATCCTAATCTTCCTTCCTCCCTCCCAAACCCCAAAACCTCTCCTACTGTAAGAAATGAATATCAATGTTGATATGACGTAATTTAAATTAAAAAACAGGGTTTTAATTTAAAGCAGTTTTATTCTGAAAAAAACGAAAGTTCACACTTACTATTAATTTAACACTTATATTCTGAAAATTCTTCATTTCCGGTTAGCATTAGCATGTGGCTAACGTTTTGAAAACCGTGAATTGAAGGTGAAATTACATGTGATGTTGTACACTAAACACACTGGGATTAACACTCATTTATTGACGCTGAAATAACGTTTATCAGGGAATGTTTAAATAACCACAGACATCAGAATTATATATATATTAATAATATAAGATATAATATGTTACTTTTGTGACTGGGTAAGTACACAACACGGGAGTCGGGACGTCACGTGCCTCATAGGTTGAGCTCCGCCCAGGTTGAGCTGGCGAATTCACGCCCATCTACTTCCGGTCCATGGGACCTTATTTCGGAAAAATAATGTATTGAAGTCAATGGAGAGAGAAAACGTATCTTTCGATCCCGTTTGAATTGTGCCATAAATTACACATGATGTTTGTAAATCTTAAAAAATCATTTCCATGTAAAAAATGTCACAGTTTGTCGTAAAACTGTTGAAATATAAGACTATGAAAAATACGCAACTAGAAAGACTACAAATCCCAGAGTGATGTCACAATTGTTTTCCTCCACTAAGAGATAGCTAAGATTAGCTGGCTAAGATAAGATAACTTTAACAAGATGCCTGTGTGCTTAGTACCAGGTTGTTACCAGCAATGGGTCTTGCTCGTTCTTTCGCTCCCCGTCTGATGAAAGGACCAGGAGTGGCTGGATAAGTTAGCTACCTAGCTAGCACGTTAGTTAGCATTACAGCCTTGTCATTTGTATTAGCCTTAATATGAAGTAACATTAGGCGCATTCACACTGCGGTACTTTTCCCACAAAGGTTCATGTGAACTCTTTTATCGCGTTCACACCAAAAAGAGCCGGTACTAAAATTAGTTCATGTGAACCTTTTTACCCCCTCGAAAGTCCCTGCTAGAGAGCAGGGACTTTCAATGGCTCTCTTGTGAGAAAAGAGCTATATTTCTGATTGGCTGGGCGGATTGCAAACCACGCCCTGTAAAACTACCAAAAAGTTTTGTGAAGCCGCCATTTTATTATCCTTGCATTAGCATTATTAGCATGAGCATTAGCCCAGCGCAGAAACGCAGAGAGACTAACTTATGGCAACACAAAATAAAACATGGGAGTGGTGGAGATGAGGAGGTGTCGGCGTTCTGGCGATTTACCCGGAAGGCTTCAGTAGAAGCTACTGGGAGTCCCAGCAGCTTCGACTGAAGCTAGTCCCCAACTCCGGGGACTTCCGGCCGGGGACTTTGGGCGGCAGTATACGCCGTGAAGTGGTTTGCGGCCTGCCAGTAAACCCAAAGCAGAAGAAGAACAAGTGACGTCAGCGGCTTCATTTGCCTAATCCACCCCCAGGGACTTTTTCCAGTGTGAACGTGATCTGTACTTAGTTCATGCGAACTAAAGAGTTCACATGAACTAAGTTCACATGAACCTTTGTGGGAAAAGTACCGCAGTGTGAATGCGCCTATTAAGTAACCCAAAATGTTAAACAGTAAGAGTAGTAGTCATATTTCGTGAACCCTTTGAAGAGTACTGTCACCGGTGTGATCATTCTATACACAATTTAAGCCCGGGGGAGAAATGCTAACGCTAGCATCGGCGATCGCCGATCTTTTGTACGTCATGCTATCTGCACAAATGGTTGACATTAAACATTAAAAAGACCAGGCAGTTCAGAGAGAATCAAAGGAAGGCAGGCAGGCAGCTTTGCATGACATTCTTCTGGACGTGTTTCATTGTGGTGATAGTGAGGGTAGTCAATCCTTTTGTTTGCCTTTTTTTATTTTTTTATTTTACTATAGTTACTTGTTTGCCTGTCCTTGTTTGTCTACCCTCCCTCATACTGTAAAGCGTCTTTGAGTTGTGAAAAGCGCTATATCAATAAAATGCATTATTATTATTAATATTTTGTAGTAGTAAGACAGTAGTGACGGCCATCTTTGTGACGTGTGTTGTTCTGCTAGACCGGAGATGTAGTTTATTCAGCGTTTCATATAAACAAATGTGTTACTTCACAGTTTTACGACACATTTTTTTTGTTTTGACTTGCAAAATTATCTTTTAAATTGACAAACATAATATGTGTAATTTGTGGCACAAGTCAAACGGGATCGAAAGATAATCTTTCTCTCTCCATTGACTTCAATGCATAACTTTTCAGAATTAAGGTCCCATGGAGCTCAACCGGAAGGGGAGGTACTTTGCCTCTCCCGGATGTTAACTCCTTCCGGTTCCTTCGTCAAAAACGCAATGCAATTTCTCCATAGGATTTTGGAAAATAGCTCGAAATAATATCTGTGGTTGAGACACATTTAAGAGACGGATCACGTTTTGTTCAGCCGGATAATATCCACATGTCTATCCTACTTTTATAATTTTCAAATCATAAATCTAGTCGCAAGAAGCAAAATGCTAACATTATGCTATAAAGGAACTACAGCAGGGTCGCTGCTTCAACGTCACGCCAACTTAAGATCCATATTCAAACATACAGATTGTAAATGGTACAAGTTGAAGTGTTTGTTTGAACAGTTTGCACGAGGCAGGTACTTGCTTTCAAGCAGAACAGGGCAAACAAACTTAGCGGGAGTGTTTTACGTGTTCGGTGTAATGAGGTAAAACGGCCTGGACAACTTCTGTAGTCCTATTCAGCCACTTGGTAACAACCATCGTTTTTCAGACACGTAAACTCTTCAAAAATCACCAGTGGGGTCACTGCTGATGTATTTAATGTCGTAGAACAAAACGTGATTTGTCAAACACAGACCTTATTTGGAGCTATTTTCCAAAATCCTATGGAGAAATTGCATTGCTTTTTATCGAAGGAACCGGACGTGGTAAACATGCTAACTTACTTCCGGGTTTTAGGACGTGTCACTGCGGTTCTCTATTGCGCACTGGAAAAGGGGTACTACCCCTTTTCAGTCCCTGCTAGAGAGCAGGGACTTTCGTGCGAGAAAAAGGTTCCTATTTCTGATTGGCTGGGCGGATTGCAAACCACGCCCCGTAAAACTCCAAAAAGGTTTTGTGAAGCCGCCATTTTATTATCCTCGCATTAGCATTATTAGCACAGCGCAGAAACGCAAAGAGACTAACTTATGGCAACACAAAAGAAAACATGGGAGCGGTGGAGATGAGGAGGTGTCGGCGTTCTGGCGATTTACTCGGAAGGCTTCAGTAGAAGCTGCTGGGAGTCCCAGCAGCTTCTACTGAAGCCTGTCCCCAACTCCGGGGACTTCCGGCCGAGGACTTCCGGCGGCAGTATACGCCGTGAAGTTGTTTGCGGCCTGCCAGTAAACCCAAAGCAGAAGAAGAAGAAGTGACGTCAGAGGCTTCATTTGCCTAATTCTTCCCCAGGAACTCATTGTGGTGTGAACGTGATCTGCTTTAGTTCATCAGAACTAAAAGAGTTCTCATGAACTGAGTTCTCATGAACTATTGTGGGAAAATAACTTGGTGTGAACGCCCCTAATGTTCTTGTAGGGCTTCCAGGTTTTAATTATAACAATATTATATAGCTCTAGTTTTCACACACAACACAGGTCACCATTAAATATTCAGATTTTACAGATCTACATTACACATATAACAACAAAGACTATAACACCTCTGTTGTGCAATATCACTTTTGTGTAATATATATATAGATACATATATCTATATATATATACACTGCCCGTCCAAAAGAGAAGTTGCCCACTAATATTTCGTTGGACCGCCTTGGCGCCTTCAGCTTTGAGTTTGGCAGGCCGTCGCCGTGGCATCATTTCGATAAGCTTCTGCAATGTCACAAAATGTATTTCTGTCCAGAGTTGCATTCATTTTCTGCCAAGATCTTTTATTGATGATGGGAGAGTCGCACCGCTGCGCAAAGTCTTCTCCAGCACATCCCAAAGATTCTCCACAGGGCTGAGGTGTGGACTCTGTGGGGGCCAGTCCATGTGAGGAAGGGAGGGCTCCTGCTCCCTGAACCCCTCATTCACTATGTGAGCCCCCCTGGCATTGTCCTCTTGGAATATGTCCGTGCCATCAGGGAGGAAGAACTCCATTGATGTTAGACCTGGTCATTCAGTATATTGAGGAAGTCAGCTGACCTCATTCTTTGGGAACATAACGTTGCTAAACCTAGAGCTGACCAACTGCAGCACCCCCAGATCATAGCCTGCCCCCACAGTACGGTAGGCACTAGGCATGATGGGTACATCACTTCATCCGCCTCTCTTCTTACCCTGATGCACTCATCACTCTGGAACAGGAGGAATCTGGATCCATTGATTTGGTTTTAAATAATGCGTTGGACAGTTCTTTCCCTGATTTGAGTAGTTTCACCAATCTCCTTAGTTGTTTTCTTTGCTTGATGCAGGCCAATCATTTGATCTTTTTGTAACTGATTAATGTCCTTGTCTTCCGACATGGATGTTTAAGAAATGAGAAGCTAAACACCACATTCGGCCACCTAGTTAGGATGCCACCTGGGCGCCTCCCTAGGGAGGTGTTCCAGGCACGTCCAGCTGGGAAGAGACCAAGGGGTAGACCTAGGACCAGGTGGAGGGATCATATCTCTTCGCTGGCCTGGGAGCGCCTTGGGATCCCCCAGTCAGAGCTGGTTGATGTCGCCAGGGAAAAGAAAGTTTGGGGCTCTCTGCTGGAACTGCTACCCCCGAGACCCGACCACGGATAAGCGGGAGAAGATGGATGGATGGATGGAACACCACATCAGCTGGGGTTAAATAACTTGTTGCCAGCTGAAACATGTGAATCTCTACAGTAATTATCCAATGGAAGGCTCTTCCAGATTGGCTCAGTTAAATCCAGGTGGTGACTTTTTTTGGACGGGCAGTGTATGTACACCGTTTATAATTGTTATTATTACTGGATCTATCTCTAAGTTAGAACATTCAACTACTGTAACACATCTGTTCATAACTGTTATATAAACTTCCACTCTTACTACTGTTACCTGGCTGCTATCACACTACTTTCTACATGCTTTCATAGTACGAAAGGTGCATCAAACAATACATCAAAGTAAACAGGATGTCCCTGACTGATGATGCTCAGAGCTGATGGGGATCAAACCTGAGTGGGTTAGAGGTTGGAGCTGGGGCAGGAGGAGGAGGAGGTGGTGGGGGTGGAGCTGGGTGGGGGTTGGTAGCAGCCTGCAGCTTCGTCTGGAGCTCCTCGACTGGACACACAGTGGCAGCCCCGAGAAGAGAAAAGGAAACTGTGAAGAACAACTGCTGCTCTTCCTGCTTCTCATGGTCATGCTCTAACTGAGCTCCCTCTTCACTCTCTATTCTGCCTTGTCCTCTAAATCTACAGTGTAACGCCCCACAGTGCACCCCGTCCTTACACTTCCAAATAGGCATTCACCTGTAGAGCGCAGATCCTTGACCTCTACTTCAGCCTTGGAGCATTTCTCACTGTACTCCCTCTTCTCCTCCTCCACAAGCTCCAGTGTCCGCCTCAGTGCCGTCAGCTCCCTCTGAGCCTCACAGCTCCGCAGCCTGTCCTCCGCCTGCTGCACCTGACAATTAACACCACAACACACACGTGTCATCAACTAGCTTAGTGTTAACACAACAAACGTACACTACTACACGTATATGTATATATATAACCCCCCCCCCAACATAACAATATAATCACTCTCTGAAAACCACCCATGTTCAAAAGCATCTTGTCTTTAAAGGATCATCGACATTATTCAGCAAGAAACTGTAAATATGGACTGGTAATGATGCCAGGTTTGGTCCTCGGCACTGCTGAGGTGCCCCTAAGCAAGGCACCAAACCCTCAACTTTCTGAGGAGCCTAACCATTTGCAGCCCTCGCGCACTTTATTTGAAAGGAAATGTAACTTGTGTTTATTCTTAATAGGGCATTTAAACTGGGTTTTTCTGGCTAAATGTTTCTATTCTAGTAAAAGAGCAGCTCAGTGGTTTCTGATGAGGAGCATTGGGAAGCTGCCAGGTGACTTTCAGTCATCTGCCTCCCAACCCCAGTTCCTTAACCAGGGTTTGAATTGTTCCTCAAATGAAGGGTATGGCTCACCTCCACCCTGCACCGCAGAGAGCAGTGATCCCACTCAGCTCTAATTGTCTTCCATCAGTGCCAGAGGAGGGATGCCGCTGCTTTAATTGTTAATCTGGCAGTTCACATCCTCTAGTATTTACTGCTGCGGCCTGTGATCATTCACCAGGCGTTCCTACCCATTGTATTAAAGCAGCTAAATAACTCTGGTTCTGATGCCGATACAGAGAATTTAAGCCCAGACATAATTATCTTCTATTGAACTGTTTCAGTTGTTTTTAACCTCATCAAGTTTGGTTTACTGTGAGTTGCAAAGTGTTGCAAATACCTGCTGTAATGTGGAAGTTAAGCCTCACTATGACACGTCCACATTTGTCTCACAAATTACAAGTCAAAATGCACGAAGAGACAATGTTTTCTTCACCATTTCCTCACCAGGTCATCATGCCCAACCCAGAACCAAAGAAGTCAAAGCTATATGTGTGTGTGTGTGTGTGTGTGTGTGTGTGTGTGTGTGTGTGTTTCCACAGTGTGTGCAGAGTGTGTGTGTGTGTGTTCCACAGTGTGTGTGTTCCACAGTGTGTGCAGGGTGTGTGTGTGTGTGTGTGTGTGTGTGTGTTCCACAGTGTGTGTGTTCCACAGTGTGCGCAGGGTGTGTGTGTGTTCCACAGTGTGTGTGTTCCACAGGGTGTGTGTTCCACAGTGTATGCAGGGTGTGTGTGTGTTCCAGTGTGTGTGTTCCACAGTGTGTGTGTTCCACAGGGTGTGTGCTCCACAGTGTGTGTGTTCCACATGGTGTGTGTTCCACAGTGTATGCAGGGTGTGTGTGTGTTCCAGTGTGTGTGTTCCACAGGGTGTGTGTTCCACAGTGTATGCAGGGTGTGTGTGTGTGTTCCAGTGTGTGTGTTCCACAGGGTGTGTGTTCCACAATGTGTGTGTTCCACAGGGTGTGTGTTCCACAGGGTGTGTGTGTGTTCCACAGTGTGTGTGTTCCACAGGGTGTGTGTTCCACAGTGTGTGTGTTCCACATGGTGTGTGTTCCACAGTGTATGCAGGGTGTGTGTGTTCCACAGGGTGTGTGTTCCACAGTGTGTGTGTTCCACAGGGTGTGTGTTCCACAGTGTGTGTGTTCCACAGGGTGTGTGTGTGTTCCACAGTGTGTGTGTTCCACAGGGTGTGTGTGTGTTCCACAGTGTGTGTGTTCCACAGGGTGTGTGTTCCACAGTGTGTGTATTCCACAGGGTGTGTGTTCCACAGTGTGTGTGTTCCACAGGGTGTGTGTGTGTTCCACAGGGTGTGTGTTCCACGGGGTGTGTGTATGTGTTCCACAGGGTGTGTGTTCCACGGGGTGTGTGTGTGTGTGTTCCACAGGGTGTGTGTGTGTGTGTGTGTTTTACAGGGTGTGTGTTCCACAGTGTATGCAGGGTTCTCTCTCAGACCTGCTGCTGCAGCTCCAGCCTCTGTGTCTCCAGCTCCTTGCTCAGTTTGCCGACCTGGCTGAGGGCCTCCTGCAGAGCCTCACTGGGGGAGGAGCTCTGCATCAGGATCTGACTCTGTCTCTTCAGCTTCCTCTGCTCCACCAACATCTGAAGGGGGACCACGAGAGGATAGACAGGACACATTGTTGGGGACAAAACAGCATATGAACTCTTCATAGGAAGAATAAGAGAGGAATATAGCAGCTACTGTCAAATTGAATTTGACCTTAACCAGTAAAACTGCAATTTGAATCTAAGTTGGTCCAAAACTTCATCATTTTTATTTGATCCCATTAGACATTAACTTAACTAACGTTAACTCATGAGGCAGGGACAGACAGACAAACTGAACATGATGTGTTACCGCTCTGGCAAAGCCCTCTGCCTCTGTCTTCAGGTCCCTTTCCAGGTCCAGAGTGTCCTGTAGGGCCTCGTATTCCTCCACAGCAAACTGAGACACTGCACAAAGAGTTCCTCATTGGGTCGGTTATGCCTTATATCAGTGAAGCTACATGAAGTCCATATCAGTCTATGATGTTATCGGTATACCCTGGTATAACCAAGTGAGACGATGCTCATGATTAGGATCCATGTGATTATTACTGATAATGTTTCTTCAAAGTTTCCAAATGATATACTGAATGTGCAATGCCACCAACCTCTGTTATATTTCCCCAGGAGCTTCTTTTGCCGCACTGCCTCAGCAATTACAATGGTGTTATTATGTTTCTCTTTCAGCAACTGCATATAGAAAAAGGGACAGAGTAGAGAAACAAAACAGAGATTTTGTGAGTTCTGTTTTATAGTGAGAATGATATTGTTTAAATAAACAAGAACAAGACAAATAAGCAGGGGAGCAAAATGGCTAGCAGCTAAGTATGCCTGACTTGTAGTGAATGGGATAAGAACTCTGGTGTGGTCTTTTAAGAAAGCTGGACAAAAAGCAAAATGAAGAGGAAGAGTGAATGGTGCTCTGCCAAACGAACACAATGAAAGCCTGGCACTGAAGTTCAGACAAAGTCCTGAAAAAAAATCATGGTTAGGTTTCCTTATTTGTCAAGACGGAAGGAAAGGAAGAAGGAGGAGAGAGGTGGAGAAGGGAGGAAGAGAACAAGTATTTTGGTATAGTTTGTGTCTGCATCTATTATTGAACCCAAATAAACTGAAACTAAGCAGAGCTGTGAGCCGTCAGTGAGTAGGTAGCAACACAAGAAGACACACAGAAGCCGACACATAGTAATAATAATAATCCTTATATTTATTATAGCGCTTTATCAATGACTCTCAAAGCGCTTTACAAATACACATTAAGATATGTAATGGTCATCTACTGTGGACAATACCCACAGGAGCAAATTCGGGTGAAGTGTCTTGCCCAAGGACACAACGGCCTGACGCAGTGGGGCGGGAGCGGGTTTCGAACTGGAGTTCCCCAACGCCCCCTTGATCTGATGATCAAACGCACAGACCACTGCGCCACCCACCCTAATAGTAGTGTGAAGCTCCGAGGGGTCCCTGTCCCTCCTGGTATTTGGCATTGCCCTTCAGCATATGTTATGGCCTTTTAATGGCTGCTATAGCTGAAAGGCTTAGACATAATTAACTCCCTTAGACCTAACAACTAATATTACTGCCTTTTCATGTGACAAAACTGACATTCTGCAAGCTAAAGGGAGGAAGATACTGTAGCACAAAAAGGTCCTTATTTTGATGGGCAATGCAAAAACCTTACTGCCCTTCAGAGAGATGTCACTTTGCCAGGACAATCTGCAGCTGCACTGATACACTGTAGTGCCCTTCTGTCAATCAGCTGTTGATACTAACGAGACACAGGGATACAGGGCTGAAGTCATGCCGTGGTGATGAAATGTTGAAGATACCACACATCATTTCAAAAGAGATGGACAGTGTGCACTGAGTTTGGACATGTGATAGACTGAAAACCACAGCAAAGGAAGAGGAGACGCTTTCTCTTGTTGTAGTCTTGCCATTGACATACATTTATTATGAAGAAAAATGTATAGTGTTAGGACAGAAAAAGGCAAAACAAAAAAACTGACTTCTTCCCTGGTTTCCCTCAGTTGTTCTGTTACTGACTCCAGATCAGTGATGGCTTGTTGTTTCTCCTCACGTGTTAACTCCAACTCCAATTGAAGCTCTGAAACAAAGAAAACCAAAGCAATGTACACACATGTCATGCACACACTACTGGTTGTTTCCGGAGCTTTCTTCTCAACATGGTTCCTCTTGGAGAGGACACTGACAGCTCTCTTCTGGATGCCATCACTGTCCCCAAAACCAAATCAATCAATGAAAGGATCAGCCTTCAGCTTGATCAATCTGTTGTTACTGCCAAGGTGAGTGTGACTGGCTTTAATGTAATGTTGGGATTACTAGTTATATAATGAAAACAAAATACACAGCTGGGATTAAAGTACAAGATTTGTGATGCTTTTGTATTTTAAATATTTGAATATGTACTCCAGAACAGTGGTAAAAAGATGTTGAACACAACATATACTACAGGAGTCATGCATTCATTGATTTGTGATATGTGTTAGCAATACTAAAAGTAATGGATATTAATATACTGTAAAATAAAAAAACAAGCAGCACCAACATATGTATACGTATGTTATAATGCTGGTAATTCACTTATTGTGTTAACTGCATAACATGCTAGGATTGCTGTGCCCACGAGAGTTTAGTAACACCACTGTCTGAAATCCTTTCTGAAATGACACAGATTACATCTGTTACTACACAGCAGGACCAGGCTGAGACATTTATGAGAGTACTTAAGCAGAAAAAGGTCACTGACACCTACAGTTGTTTTTGGTGAGGGGTAGAGTGCACTTTGCTGAGAATAACATGTATTCTGATGGATAAAAGTCTCATAATAAAATAAAATGTTAAAGCAAGTCTGAGCAGACGAGCAGTTTTCACAATGCTGGGACTTTTATTGACCTCACCTTTGATGATAAAAAACAGCTGTTCCTGAATTATTCTCCCTTTAAACCTTTATATAGTTTAAGTGTACATGTGTACAATAAGAGTGTCCTATGTGTTGCCAGACAGGAAATGGATTTGACTAGCTGTCCATTAACATGAAATGATGAATGTTCAACATAATAAGCCCACAATCGTATTTCTGAATGTAATCATCTTCTGAATCAGAGTATATCATTTGCAAATGGCATGATTATCTCTCACTTATAATGCCAACAGCCTTGAACAACATGATGGGAAAAGCATCATGCAGAATGAATCCATTATTACCAGAGGTATAATTACTGATTGACTACAGGAACTAACCATGACATTTCCAAGAGACGGCTGGAGGAGAAGTATCCTGAACATACTCTTCAAAGTTACTGCTAACGTACTCTATGCACGTGCAAGCACTGCATACTTTTAATGTCATGCACTGTGGGAGATTTGACATTTGCTTTGAGTAATATATGAATTGAGGCTACTGTAATACAGCATAATGAGGAGTATTGCCCTTCAATCCAAATGATCAAATAATCCTTCAAATTGATGATCATTGATGGACTTATTTATTAATGATTGTTAGAACTTCATTGTGGAATATGATTTCAGATTTCATAGAGATATTCATTTAATCAGATGAAGATTTTAAGGCCCAAACTGTAAACTGATAAACATATACAAGTGACTGTATATGCCATTTCTGGGGGGGGGGGGAGACTTTTTTTTGCCATTGCTTGTAATTGAACTATTCATATCTTACACGGCTCTGTAACTTTTATTCATGTATTTTATACCTGTGTTATTCTACATTAGCTTGTTTTATGTTTATTGTATTCTTCGCTTTTTAATGACTGTTTTTAAATGTCATTTATAAAGTGATTCCGCTGCTCTATTTCTTAATGCTCTTAATGTTTTTCATTTTTGTAAAGCACTTTGAATTGCCTTGTGTTGAAAGGTTCTATATAAATAAATGTGCCTTGCAGGACTTCTAAAATACCCTCTAAAACCTTGAACTACTTCAACAACGCACACAACAGCGCACATCTTTTGGCTGTTTGTGGCTTGGGTCTGACTTGCTGGTAAATGTGTGTTTTTATATACAGTTCATCCTGGGCTGGAGACAGGTTGTACCTGAGATGTTGCTCTGGCACTGGGGGGAGGGGCAGAGAAGGCTGTCTGCATGTCCCTCCTCCTGCTCCTCCTCCTCTTGGTCCATGAGGTTTATCTCAGTGATGGTCTTTGGGCTGAGGTGGGGCAGCATCATCATGCTCTTCCTCTTCAGAGAGCGGTTCTGACGCTTCAACTGCAGTGTGGAGGCACAAAGAGAAACAAACACCTGTGATTCTCAGAGGCATTATATGGCACACTATTTAAAGAGCTACATGACATGTTTAATATCAGTCAAATAGTGTTCCATTGCTGTATGAAGCACTTTAGAAAAGTGTTAACTCTTTAAATGTCAGTCCCTCTGCTTCTTCCCGGCAGGAATCTTTCTTATCCCTCCCCCCTCTGTGTCTGTGCTTGATTACAGGAGTGGGATTTGGTTTGCAGGTGCCAGGCGGTTGTCAATCCCAATCAGCTGGGCTTTAAATACTGGGCTCCAACTCCCCCAAGCCATCAGGTCGTAGACTCTGCTACACAGCTAGTTGGTCATGTTCTTGCCTATTTTTTGATATTCCAGTTGTTTATCCAGGTCTCTAATACCTGTTCCATGTTTCTGCAGTCATCCTGCCTGACTCCTTTTTCTGTCCCCTCCTGGAAAACTCTCTGGATTCCTGCCCCCGTACTTCACCTGGATCACACTCTGGACCATTCAAATTTAAATACAACATCAGTAATCCTGTCAGCAAATTACAATACACATATCTCTTACTTGGAAGCAAATCCCGATTTTTGAATTGTTAAATCAATCCATAAGCTATGCTTCAGCCCTCACGCTTCTACTAATTTTGTTCATTTGTGTGTATGAATTATACGTTTTTGTTTTTGTATGATTTTAGTAGAATACATTTTTTTTTTTTTTTAAATATATGGATGTAGTTTCCAGACTTTTTTCCACTCATGCCTGAGGTCATATATCACCATATTACCGGTCATAGCAGCATTCCCTGTGTATCCTCTGTGATAAGGTTATTGGAGACTTGTATCATGCCAGCTATTCATCCGAGCTACAGGGTAACTTGGTGAGGGTCTGTGTCAGTTTCTCGTCATCTCCTCACTGAGGTCGCACAGGGGTCTGTCCTGGGTCCCCTCCTCTTCTCTCTGGACACAAACTGTCTTGGCTCTCTCATTCTCTCATGGCTTCTCCTATCATAGCTATACAGATGACACACAACTGATTCTGTCTTTACCCCGGTCTGAAACACAGGTGGTCGCACTCATCTCTGCTTGTCTGCTTGCTCACCACCTGAAGCTCAACCTAAAGAACACCTAACTGCTCTTCATCCCAGGTAAGGACTCTCCCATCCATGAGCTGTCCATCAACATTGGCACCTCTGTTGTTTCCCCGACACAGACTGCAAGGAACCTGGGCGTGGCCCTGGACCACCAGCTGAACTTCACTGCTAACATTGCTGCTACATCCCGATCCTGCAGATACACACTCTATAACATCAGGAGGATACGTCCCCTACTGTCCCCTTCTGTCCCCTTCTGTCCCCTACTGTCCCAGGAGGCAACGCAGGTCCTGGTCCAGGCTCTGGTCATCTCGCGCCTGGACTACTGCAACGCCCTCCCGGCTGGTCTACCTGCAAACACCATCAGGTCTTCAACCTCCCCCAGTTCTCCAACACTACACCACTCCTTCACTCCCTCCACTGGCTGTCAGTGGATGCAAGAATCTGCTTCAAGACCCTGGTGCTGGCCTACCGTGCTGTGAAGGGATCAGCCCCTTCCTTCATCCAGGCCTTGGTTAAACCATACACTCCAGCACGTGCACCCCTTATACCGAAGCAAATTCCTTGTATGTGTAAACCTACAGGTAATGAAGCTGATTCTAATTCTGAACTCTCTGCAGAAACTGTCTTGGAAGGAAGAAGGAATGATTTTGGAGAGACAACTTTAGTGTTTGATCAGCTGACCTATGGAACCTCTTGCGACTTGACCTAAAACTGTTTTAACTAACAGTTTGTTGTTCTGTATGTTTGTATTTATATCTTAACATGTTTACTTATTGTTGGTTCATGCATGGCATTACATTACATTACATTGCATTTAGCTGACGCTTTTATCCAAAGCGACTTACAATAAGTACATTCGACCAGGAAGACACAACCTTGAAGAAAACAGAATCATATAAGTACATCAGGTTTCATAGAGCCAAACATTTCAAGTGCTACTCCACTGGCTTTAGGTAAGCCAGTCCTTTATTAGTATAAAAGTGCTTCGTTAATAGTTCTAACGCTCGAAGTGGAGTCGAAAGAGATGAGTTTTCAGTTTGCGCCGGAAGATGTGCAAGCTATCTGCCGTCCTGATGTCAATGGCGAGCTCATTCCACCATCTTGGAGCCAGGACAGCAAGCCCACGTGTTTTCGCCGATGGGAACTTGGGTCCCCCTCGCAGCGAGGGCGCAACGAGTCGTTTGGCTGATGCAGAGCGTAGTGCACGCGCTGGGGTGTACGGTTTAACCATGTCCTGGATGTAGGAAGGGCCAGATCCATTCGCAGCACGGTAAGCAAGTACCAGTGTCTTGAAGTGGATTCTAGCAGTTACCGGAAGCCAGTGAAGGGAGCGGAGGAGCGGAGTGGTGTGGGAGAATTTAGGAAGGTTGAAGACCAGACGAGCCGCTGCATTCTGGGTGAGCTGCAGAGGTCGGATGGAACATGCAGGTAGACCAGCCAGGAGGGAGTTGCAGTAGTCTAGGCGTGAGATGACGAGAGCCTGGACCAGAACCTGAGTCGCTTTCTGAGTCAGCTGGGGACGTATCTTCCTGATGTTGTAAAGCGTGTATCTGCAGCAACGGGTTGTAGCAGCGATGTTTGCAGTGAAGGACAGGTTGTTATCTAGGGTCACACCCAGATTCCTTGCAGTCTGAGTCGGGGAAACAACTGAGGTGCCGATGTTGATTGTTAGGTCAAGAGTGGGACAATCTTTTCCCGGGAGGAAGAGCAGCTCAGTCTTGTCAAGGTTGAGCTTGAGGTGGTGAGCAGACATCCACTGAGAGATGTCAGCTAGACAAGCAGAGATGCGTGCAACGACCTGGGTCTCTGAGCGGGGAAAGGACAGAATTAATTGGGTGTCATCAGCGTAGCAGTGGTAAGAAAAACCATGCGGGCTAATGACTGATCCGAGCGAGTTTGTGTACACGGAGAAGAGGAGGGGACCAAGAACAGAGCCCTGAGGGACCCCCGTAGTTAATTGAAAAGGGTCGGACTCAGACCCTCTCCAAGTCACCCTGTAGGTACGGTCTTTGAGGTATGAGGTGAGGAGGGAAAGTGCAGAGCCTGAAACTCCAAGTTTTTGGAGAGTGCGAAGGAGGATCTGATGATTCACCGTGTCGAATGCAGCAGACAGGTCCAATAGGATGATGACAGAGGAGAGGGATGCAGTTTTGGCAGTGTGCAGTTCCTCCGTGACAGCAATGAGAGCAGTTTCTGTGGAGTGACCTGCCTTGAAACCAGACTGGTGCGGATCCAGAAGGTTGTTCTGATTGAGATAACAGGAGAGTTGTTTAAAGACAGCGCGTTCAAGTGATTTAGACAGGAACGGGAGGAGAGAGACAGGCCTGTAGTTTATAACATCAGACGGGTTGAGAGTGGGTTTCTTTAGGAGAGGGTTTACTCTTGCCTCCTTGAGACTGTTTGGAAAGTGACCAGAAGTTAGAGAAGTGTTGATGAAATGGGTGAGAAACGGTAGAATATCAGGAGCGATAGTCTGAAGGAGGTTTGAAGGGATAGGGTCCAGAGGACAGGTGGTAGGGCGGGCAGAGGTAATGAGGGTAAGAACCTCACTTGGAGAGAGAGGGGAAAAGGAGGTAAGTGTGTTGGTGGAAGGAGGGTCTGGTGACCCAGCGGTGAGTAAAGGTGAGTCAGAAAAAGAAGAGCGAATATCATCAACCTTTTTTTCAAAGTGGGTAACAAAGTCGCTTGACAGAAGTGAGAAGGGGGGAGGAGCTTTTGGAGGGTCCAAGAGGGTGGAGAAGATGGAAAATAGTTTTTTAGGATTGGAATAGGAAGATTGGATCTTATCTTGAAAGAAAGTGCTTTTTGCCTGAGAGATCGAAGCAGAGAAAGAGGAGAGGAGAGCTTGGTAGGTTAGGAGGTCGTCACGGTGTTTGGATTTCCACCATTTCCGCTCTGCTGCCCTAAGGACGGTTCTATTAGCACGCAGTGCATCATTTAGCCAGGGAGCAGGAGGGGACTGACGAGCCTGCCGAGATGTGAGAGGACAGAGCGAGTCCAGAGTGGATGAGAGAGTAGAGAGGAGAGTTTCTGCAGCAGAGTTTGGAGGCAGGAGATGGAACGAGTCCGAGGAAGGGAGGGCTGAGAGCACCGACGAGGCAAAGGTAGGGGGGGAGAGGGAGCGAAGGTTACGGCGGACAAGTGCAGGATGGGAAGAGATTAGTTTGTTATGTTTGGAAAGGGATAGAGAGAATGAAATGAAGAAGTGATCGGATGTGTGGAGCGGGTTTACAGAGAGGTTAGAAGTAGAGCAGTTCCTTGAGAATATGAGATCAAGGACATTGCCAGCTTTATGAGTCGGTGGGGACGGAGACAGTGAGAAAGCAAAGGCGGTTAACAGAGATGTTAGTTCGTCTATCTTCCCCGTCTGGAGGTTAAAGTCTCCGAGAAGTACAGCGGGAGGGCCAGTTTCAGGGATGAGTGAGAGGAGATTATCTAATTCCTCCAAGAAGTCCCCCAAGGCGCCTGGTGGACGGTAGAGAACAACAATGGTTAACTGTATAGGATGGGTTACTGTGACGGCATGGAATTCAAAGGTGGAAGGAGTGAAGTTAGGTAGCTTGAAGAGGGAAAAGCTCCATTTGGGAGATAGCAGGAGACCAGTGCCACCTCCTCTGCCAGTGGGTCTGGGTGTATGGGAGAAGGAATATGCAGTGGAGAGAGCTGCTGGGGTGGATGTGTTGGATGGAGTAATCCAGGTCTCAGTGAGAGCAAGGAAATCCAGAGACTGCAGGGAGGCGTAGCCAGAGATGAAGTCAGCCTTAGGAACAGCTGACTGGCAGTTCCACAGGCCACCTGAAACTAGATGTTGGATCTCAGTGGAGCACGTGGGATAGACGAGAGCAGGCCGGTTATATCGATTAGGAGATACACGGGGCCAGTGATAATTGCGAGAAGACACATG